CATTTCTTTGGCCTGTAACAAAGGGTAAAATAAGAACACGGTTGTAGAAATGCAACTGTTTGTTTAAATATTGAAAAGGATTTGCAGAATTTGGCTTTGATGGGAACTGAGAAGCAGTGATGGAGGAAGAGAAAGAAGTGTGAGAAGATTGCCCAAATGCAGAAGAGTCTGGAGTAAAGAGGACTTCTTTCCACATCTTTGTTGAGCTGGCTGCCGTAGTAGGCAGGGATCTTAAGGCCGCTCTGAAGGTGACAATAAGCCTCTCATTTTACCTAGAGGAAGGAATCTCAGGTATTTGTGTTGAAGAACAATTTGATGAGGAAGTTGACTTGCGTGGTTAGAAGTGTTGTGAAAGTGGAGTTTGAGACAGGACAAGTTTGGCAGCAGAACCCACAGAAAAAAGAAGCTCAGATAGATTCTTATATGTGTTTATTTTCACTGTGTGCAAACAAACCTGTGCATTTTCCTCTCTGTCAATGATGGTCTTGCATGTAGACAGGGAAAGAAGAAAGGGACTTTTGAACTCCTAGTTTGTTTTAACAACCTGCCTGTGACTGCCAGCGTAAAAACCAAGACAGAAAATACTATTAACAACTGCAAAAATGTTCCCAAGTGTGACAAATGCTGATGGAGTTTCTAAGTAACACATTTTCAAGGCACAGCAAACAGAAAATAAAACTTAGTAGACCAGATAAGCATTCAAATCAAAATCATGAAAGCCTTAAAATAGTCTTTGTAAACAGTTAATTGCATACATGTTCAAGATTCAATTTTTTTTCTGTGTGTTTATCTTTGCAAACAGAGATGTAGTGCCTTGATTTTTCAGCGATTTTTATGTGCCATACTTCGATTCAGAGGTACAGAGAAAGAGATGTTGTTTACTGCTGGTGGAGAAGGATGATCTTGGCTTTGCTTGCAGAACCTGAGAGAGAGAATGCTCTGGTTTTCCATATGCGTTGTCCTCTATTGTCCTGTTGTTGCTCTGCAGAGGAAGAAGCACCTTCCCGAGCCGTTCTGTGCTCAGCCACTGTGGTTGCTGTCACTGCAGTGGGAAGGTTACTGACAAATGCGATTACGGAGCAGTTGCTTGCTGTGGGCTTTAAATGCGACAGCAAGCAAGGCGAGAATTGTGCTTACTGACATGAGTTTAGTGGTATATATTGGGCGATGACCTGGGAGCCAAATCTGAATTTAGATGTGAAAAGTATTTGCTTCAGTAGGATCCATTTGAGGAAACTTTTATGTGTTTTTCCTGCTTATCTCTCCTTGTATTCTGGTCCTCTGCATGTACCGGTGTTCATCTTGCTGTTTTTCAGTGGCCCATCTGAGGCTTTCTTGAGCGTCGTCTGTTCTATGCCTAATCAAATGGAAGAGGAAATAGGCAAAAAAAATGACGCGTTCTCTGATGTTTTGAAGAGTGGAGCAGTGATGCTGAGGTGGGGAAGAACGCGTGTTAGGCCAGAGGTGAAAGGACAAAGTGCACAAAGCTGTACAGCTGCAGTGCATAGATCCTGAGGCAGTGGATGGAGGTGGAACAAGAGGCATGTGGACATATGCTTCTCCTTGGTCACTGCTGTGAATTTAATCGATTGTGTTTTACCAGTGCTGTGTGCCTCTCAGAGTTTAGTTGCTAGCCTTGCGCCTTATTGTATCCCATCCTCTTAATCCCAATGGAAATTAAATAAATAATCGTTCTTTATAAGTAGTCAGTGAAAGTTTACTTATTGAAAACTTGTACTTTCTCCTTCAAAATAAACATATGCCCCCATCGATCCGCAACTTCACAGAAAGTTTTACCAAATCATGACAAGGTGAATTCAGAGCAGTGTAATTATTCACAAACTGCACCAAGCAGTGCGCTGTGTTACGGGAGTTGTGCTGAAGGTCTTTTTCAGCCATCTGGTGCCTCCCTGCAGCTCCTGGGCACGGCTCTTCAAAACCAGCAGCTAGCTTTCCGTTCCTTCCATGGAACTGACGTTATTCCTGCTTTCCCTTTGTCAAAGTTCAGGTGCAGCTGTAACGATACAAATAACTGTCTTGCTGGACTCATCCAGCTCTGAGGTCTCTTCCTTGTCTCTTTCCATTTACACAGTGCACACCTGACAATTGCTGTGCAACTGCTTGCGTGATACGTACAGCTTTACTCGCTGGTGTCCTGGAGCCTGTTGTCTGCTTTCCCGAGCCAAGGCAGGGAAAGGATACATCCCAAGATCACTATTAGCATGACAACTAAACCAATGAGAATGTGCTGGTATAGGAAAAATGTTGCTGCATGCAGCTTTTTAGAAAGTCCTCTGTTTGAAAAATTGCAAGCAGCACGTAGTTTTCCTGACAGGGTTTGTTGCTGCACAAGTGAGCAGGGCGGTATTTGAGCTTCACAGATACAACAGAATCGAGTGTCTTGTTTCTAAAATAGGAATACAATCAGTGTTGATCTCTACAGCAGTCGTGTTGCTGATAATGAGTAGAAAATGAAACTGTGAAAATGTCAGTTATGGTAGTGGCAATAGTACAGAGTAGAAGGATTTAGTGGGAACTTGGTACTGTGTCCTCGTGGTCTCTTTAGGGATGTCAGTATGTAAAGAAACCCTCATAGCAGGATGCTGGTGGGGATGGTGCCTCCTCTGAGACACTGCACGTACCTTTTGCGTAACATGTCTTTTGTCACCCCAGGCACTTGCTGAGAGGATTTGCTGCACAGGCCAAGTAACCGTATTTGTATATATCCTGGCAAAACTTCAGGGTTAAGTTGTGTGCCAGCACAAGTGGTACCAATAAAGCTTCCTGGAGTAGTGGTGGCTTTTTAACGTAGATTCAGTAAAAGCTGTTTGCACAGAGAAAGGGAAATAGTTTATACTGTTATCGCCATGTCCGCCCTAAATGTGATACTGGTAGGAATACTGCAGGAAAAAAACAACAACAAAACAACAACTCCAGAAAAGGTTACACTCTTAATCGATGTGTTTGTAGTAGTAAAAGCTGTGTGTAGGTTGGATCTGAGGACAGCATTGTTTGGAAGAAAAAGGACGATTAGACTTCACACACGTTTTTGGTGGGGTTTTTTTTGGTGCTGCTGAGATTCGTTGTGCTTTCCTTATCTCCCTGGGAGTTGGGTGCTGAATGCTGGAGGCTGCCGCAGCCTCCCACAGCCCCGTGGGTCAGAACCCACCAACGCTGTGCAGGTTCTGTCTGGTAGCAACTGAAGGACAGCTTTGGACTCCAGTATACACAATTAAAAGGCGATCTTTGGAGTCCAGTATGCTTCAACCAGCTGACGTTAAAAGCTGGTATTTCAGCATGTCCATAGATAAATGGAGCTCCTGCTCTGCCTCTTACAGCTTTTACTTTATTTGGAGCATTTCTTATGGATAATTAAAGTTTATAGAGAAGGGAATTGCAGAAAAGTGTGCTTTTGATTTGCCATTACTGCTTTTATCTGAGATCTCAGATTACTCTATAAATATCAAATGAGTCTCTGAGCACAAAGTAGGTTAGAATTACACTGTCATTATAATAAGTAAAATGGGGGCCAGAAAGCTATGTGATTTGGTACAATTATTCAATGATAGTGTTATGATGCAGCTGTTACATCATGAAAGCAGTGTAATTTTATCTCATTATGGAAACGTTAGATCAAGGACCTGGGTACATGAAGAGCAGAATGTACCTTTTATTTCACAGCTTTTGAATGAGGCAAAGTTTACAGGAGAATGTAGTATACTTGTACTGAAAACACAGCTCTGGAAACAACCACAGAACTGCTAGGCATAATCTAGTTGGAAAGAAATACTATAAAAGGTGAAATAAAGAAAGTTTCTGCATCTAGCTCCAACAAACATCTCTCTTTGAACATAAAGCACGTGGATCTAAGTGGTGAAAGATCTGACCTACTAGTAACTACTGATGTTGCCAAGGCTTAGCAGTAACTGCACCATGCTGAGTCAATGATTCTTCACGTTGGAAGACCCCTGTTGAATGACAGCAGTATAATGCTATCAGATTTTCACATCTTTTAAATCTGGCGTGCTTTGCTCAGAAGTTCACAGGGCATTGTTTTCTCTTTGAAATTCTTCAGCTGCATGGATGATGTAGTGTTTGAAAAGTTCCCAGGAAGGCTGTGGGTTTTGAAATGTCTCATGGTTATCTGTCTACGCTTAATTTTGATTAGAAATTGTTATTCCACTGTGTTTTCCCAGTTTTTATTTTTCTTTTAAGATGCACTGTACATCTTGTTCATTAAAAGATAGCTGTCGAATGTACAGCTAATGCAGATGCTGTTTACACTTGAAAATAATTTAAAATGGTTTTCTTAATCTCTTAAAAATTCAGTATTGCTGTTATACCACAATCTATTTTGCAAATAAATGGTACGTATTGATGAAGCATGTCAAAATGATTCTAATTCCATTTGACAGTTAAATAATTCAAAGACAGATCAGTAGTGCTTCTCATTATGCATTCTCAGAGTTATTTAAATACTCATTATCACTGATCTCTATTAGCGAGCCTTGTCACATTACTTATTCCGCTCATGTGCTGTTATATGCTCAACTTCTTCAAGTAATTATTTGGATTGCTGCAGATCTTGATAAACCTGAGTGCTAAAATCTTTCATACTTCATGAGAAGAGTTCATAGAATCATAGAATCACAGAATGGTTAGGGTTGGAAGGGACCTCAAAGATCATCTAGTTCCAACCCCCCTGCCATGCGCAGGGAAACCCTCCACTACACCAGGTTGCCCAAAGCCTCATCCAGCCTGGCCTTGAACACCTCCAGGGATGAGGCGTCTACAACTTCTCTGGGCAACCTGTTCCAGTGCCTCACCACCCTCTGAGTGAAAAATTTCTTCCTTATATCTAATCTAAATCTACCCTCTTTCAGTTTAAAGCCATTGCCCCTTGTCCTATCACTACATGCCCTTGTAAAAAGTCCCTCTCCAGCTTTCCTGTAGGCCCCCTTTAGGTACTGGAAGGCTGCTATAAGATCACCCCGGAGCCTTCTCTTCTCCAGGCTGAACAGCCCCAACTCTCTCAGCCTGTCTTCATAGCAGAGGTGTTCCAGCCCTCGGATCATCTTCGTGGCCCTTCTCTGGACCCACTCCAGCAGCTCCATGACCTTCTTGTAGGGAACAAGAACAAGAACACTGCAAAATCCTTAGTTTGTATTTGTTATTCAGCTTTTGGCAATATAGTTTTAAGAATAATGATTTGCTAACTATGTTTTTTATGTATTTCAGTCCTATAAGATCATCAATTTTGCGCCAAGTCTACTGCAAATCATAGTATCGGATCAAGTTGAATTTCCAGTGCGTCAAGCAGGTGAGATAAATTCCTCATTTTGTTTTCTTTCAGTAGAAAGTCAGTCTGTTAGTTATTTCAGCAGAGTATTGGGCTGTTGCAATGTAAGTTCACATTTGTTCTGAAAGCGGAAATGAAAAGGATCTATCTTTGCCATTTCTTCCCTACATGAGGGTCAGATAAAAACATGGATATAGGATAGAGTCCTTCTTTGACTTCCCTGTGTTTGTAGTTATCCATACTGGATTGCTATGATGCTGGTATGAAAAAAGAATGATTTCTGATCAAAACTGAGTACCCAGGGAGCCTTAGGTATTCTTTCTCCTGGTGGTGAAGAAGTAATGATGCCAAGACAAGTGAGAATTTTAAAAAAAAGTGGATCTCTCTTGAATACGTGTTTCTCTATTTGAATCCCTTTTCCTGGAAAAATTAAAGTTTCTGAAAAATGAAAAAAACACCATAGTTCCCTAGGTCAAGGGTAGCCACTATAATTAGTCAGCACCTGTGGTGTCCACTCACAAAAGAAGATATGAAGGAAGGTCACATCACTGGTAAGTTACAAATTTATCATCTGAATGTGTCTAGAAAGATTGCTCAGCTGTGTGTGTGAGTTCAGGTATGGTGTAACTTTAGGGTGTACATTTGTGTAAGATCAGGTTCTAAATTCTCATAATCTAGTTTTACTACTCCTATACAATATTTTTGACAGATACAGAAAATATTCCGCTTTTTCAAGAAATTGATGCATACTGTTTTGTTCACAGCTCTGTTTTCATCCTATGGAACAGCATTTCCCATAGAAGCACTGTTGTTTTTTTTCGTACAGATCCCATTAATCCCCTGAGTGCGTTGGGGCATGCTGACATATGCTGTTTGTCATGCTGGCGTTTATTTTTTCAGAGATAATCCAACTTTGAATGGCATTGTTAAACCATTCTGTAGTAAAGCTTGATGCTTAATCTAGAGTCCGTAAGGTCATTTTTGTAAATTAATCTCTCATTTCAGTATAATTCAGGAAAAGAACGAAGTATATAGAACATATTTTTTTAATTTTTTGTTAATTTTTAAAATTTTTACAGAGTAGGGTTATAAAATAGAAAACCACATTTAAATTGCATTTGTAAGTCAACAGATTTCCCTGGGTATTTTTTGAAAGCCAAGAATTTGTATAACAGCAAGATCTGTGGACAAAGTAAATTAAAGTCTTGGGCTAGTCTTTCTGGACCTGTTTCTTGTCTGAGTATTCTGGTGTGTCATAGGCAAAGAACTGTTTTTGCTCTTGCTCCTATAAAATATTTTACAAACTACGTGTTTTCATACTTCATAATTTGTCATCACCAAGAAAAATGATTGCACCCAAGGATATCTTATTTATACTTTAAAACCCTAGCTAGTAATCAACCGAAATAGTACAGGGATAAGAGTTTATTAGGAACATTCCTTTAATGTCTTACACCATATTTCCTATGTTTCCTAAAAAATGCCTATGGGCATTTTAGTACTGAGGCATAAATGCTGCTTTATTTTCAGTTGAAGATTAACTTTACTTTTCATGGTTTTTCATGTGAGACAGAAGGGAACAATTCTAAGGGATTACGGGAAATCCTAATAGTGAGATAAAGCTTAGGGAATTCACAACAAACATTTCTGTCTGAATAGAAGGTAGGCCACGTGCCAGTTTCATACTGGGCATTTCCCCAAGCAGTGTCCTGTCTGCGTGGGCAATGATTTGTTTACACGAGCCTTCCAAAACTTCACTTATTGAGCTTGAGTACTTGTTTTCGGGACGAGTAAAAATGCAGATAAGTAGTTTTTTGTTTGCTCGTTTAGAACGATGGAGTTTTATGTCCGTATGGAAGACTGCTGTCATGAAGAATGTGCCCCAATAGATGCTGACTGAAATACTGTCCTGTTCTGTTCAGGAACAGGCACTCAAGCCTGATCTTGTGTGGAATCATTAAAAAAATGGTTTTGTGATTCAGCTGTGCTTAGGGCCTGTAATTGTTAAGAACTCATGCAGTGGTTTTCAGTCGTCTTTTCAACTCTTTGTTCTACTTTCAACTCTACTACATGTTGAGCACAGAGTAGTGTGGAGATGTGTTAGAACTGAATTGTTATTTCTGCAATGTTTATACTTAGCTGCCATTTATCTGAAGAACATGGTGACACAGTACTGGCCAGACCGTGAACCACCTCCTGGAGAAGCAGTGTTTCCATTCAACATTCATGAAAACGATCGTCAGCAGATTCGTGATAACATCGTAGAAGGAATAATTCGTTCTCCTGACTTAGTGAGGTACCTTACGTTGTGCAGAGGTATTTCTGTAGCTCAGCTTTTCAGACATACCTGTCTGGAGGTCGTTAATGTGAGAATCTCAGTTTCTTGGGAGATAAAGCAAGTACTTGTTTTGTAAATGTAGTAATAATAAATTTTAACATATTTATGTGCGCTTGTTTTTCAGAAATGTAGTAACCCATCTAAGAGCCCTGTGATGTGATTTATCCTCTTATGGTGTTGTTTAAGTGCGTATAAAACACTTGCTGTAGTGATAGCCTGTCTGTTTGGCTGATTCGAGGGAGGTAGCCTAGAGGGCTATCTGCAATACTGAATTAACCATTCAGGGAAATACTGCCCAAGATCTGTTTCCTTTTTTCCTAGTAACGCTTTTCTCTGTTACTTTTGCAGTTTTTATATGTAATCCCAGTGTTTAAATGAATATTAGTGTTCTTGATTTTAGGATGTTGAAAGAATGAAAATATGCTTTGGAGGTTGAGAAGTGCTGTTCTAGAAGATCCCAGGAAAACTGTAATTTCATGAGGAACTTCTGGCTTGGATCATAATACGAGCCTATATGGTTTAATAAAAATGTACAAATTTGTGTTTTCATGGTAGCTTTCAGCTTCATAAGTGTGTAGAAGTATAAACATTCATTTTCAAAGTACAAAGCTGGCTGGTTTCATAAGCAGTTACCTTTTTTCAAATATTGCCTGATGGTTGTGGAAAGGGAAGAGGAAGGGAGAAAAGTAGCTAAAATGTTCCAAAATTAGTTTCTTCCTTAGAGTTAAATCCCCTGGGATTTTTTTTCTTGCTTTTCCTCTGCCACTTCCCAGAACTCTTTTCAGTGCTGTCAAAATATGTATGATACTTATGATGTAATATGTATATTCTGTCCAATAAACAGAGATTTGGGAATCTATCCTTTAATATTAAACACTATGCCATGATCTTATTTACTTATAATGTACTTCTTTTTCCCTCCTGCCGTAGAGCTCAGCTGACAATGTGCCTCCGTGCTATCATTAAACATGACTTTCCTGGCCATTGGACAGCTGTGGTGGACAAAATAGGCTACTACTTGCAGTCTCAGAACAGTGGGAGTTGGCTTGGGAGCCTCCTGTGCCTGTATCAGCTGGTGAAGACTTATGAGTAAGTTGATGTCCGTCAGTACATGAGGAATCAGCACTTTTGGTCTCAACTGATTACTGAGAATGACATTCCTAAGAGCACTGGTAGTTCCACAAGGAATTCCGATAGAAAATGGGAGTTGGTAATTGTCATATGCTTCCTTTCCTGCAAATAAATGAAAACTAAACATCATTTTTATGTCATCAGTGAATCGAAAGCAGAGATGCCAACAATAATCTGTATGAATTTACTGACATTTTTTCTGGAGGCTTTGTACTTTTGATCTGATTTAACCTGTCTGTGAAAAATTTCTTAAATATTTATAGCTTCTTTTCTTTGAAGATTCCCCAAAAGCTGGATATATGAATGCAAATTATTTTATACTTTTATATCATGAAGTCCTATTGCATATTGTTACCTGTACCATCCTCCTCATAGTATAAATCCACAAAGCATAAATTAGGAGAAGTGTAGTGAGCTCTCTCGCTCATTTAAAAAAAAAAAAATCTGTTGTTAGAAACATATGTATAAACCGCACTAAAGAAATGTAAATGGAGAAAGAGAGAATCTTTTCCAAACAAAGAAATCGTCTTTCCCTTTCAATGGCTGTTTACTCCTATTTGTTCAGCACCCAGTTTGGGTTTGGCGTTGGTCAGAGAAATTCAAGTCCCTGCTCCTGTGGGCTGACAATTCATCCGTAAAGAACATAAGTTCTTCCCCAATAGTTGCATTTATATGAGGTAACATTTGTTGTTCTTCATTTCTCTGTTTCCGGGTTAGTGAATTTGCACGAATTGTTGAGATGGGGGCTAGAGGAGGGGAGAGGGAATGAGTGAGTGCTGGATATTAATTCATTATTATTTTTTTTTAGGATACAGAAATTAAATTGCTGGTGGGGAATAGGCATTAGAATCTCCAGTGTGTAGATCCTGGACCAACATTTTTGTTTCCTTTGCAGATACAAAAAAGCAGAGGAGCGAGATCCTCTCATAGCCGCAATGCAAATATTTTTGCCTCGGATTCAGCAGCAGATGATCCAGCTTCTGCCTGATAACTCCCATTACTCTGTACTGCTTCAGAAACAAATCTTAAAAATCTTCTATGCTCTTGTTCAGGTTGGCATCCATGTAGAGGAAAACCAAAACTTTTACTTTATTGGGCACAATGGCTCCCTTCAGTACACTCATGGGTGTGATTGAATAAGAATACCAGTTTGGATGGGAAAAGTTGTATAAAATAAGCAGCTTTTATAAAAATATGATCTTTATAAATTTTTCTACTTAAAAACTGGTACCCAGATTAAGTTCTTAATGACCTTAGGTACTTCTGCACATCCTGTCTGTGAGCTTACTGGAGAAACGTTCCTGTTTTATAAAGTCACACTAACCTGATATAAACTGTACGGATAATTAGACTGTGCTAGCTGGCCTCTGAAAGTGTCGATAGTGGATATTGTAGTATAACTGTCAAATAGTGCACTTCAGTAGGTGGTGTTTCTCATTCTGTTCTGAAGATCTGTCAGAAATTGTTTATTGAGGCACATGCATTTTACAGAGATGAGTTTGACTTTTACAGGGTTGAGTTTGGTGAGGAAGTATTGTTAGAGAATGGGAAACAAAACAAGATCCTATGTAAGGGGCAGCCTGAAAATTCTTACTGGGAGTTAAAAAGCTAAAGTAGTTTGTTATTAGAGGGAGGATTAAAAAGATCCCAAAATCCTATTTTAATTTTCGGTAGTTTGCCTGAATATTGTCACTTTGCTTTGGATGTTGTGGAGAAGTAAGATTTACTAGATAGTAGCTGGGTAGTAATTAGGAGTACATTTTGCTTGCTAAAATGCTGTTGGTTTACCCAAACCCTGTAATATAGACACTGCTGTGGTTGCTAAAAAGTTAGCTGGGCCCTTGTGAAGAAGAGGGAGAAACAAAGAGAGTTAGCAAGTTCTCAGACCAAGGAACTTTCCTCAAATAGTGTCTGCTTGGAAATTCCTCTGCAAATTGTACCAAGAAGGATGCAATTAGAATAGTACTAGTATCTAACCTAATTAGTCTTAATTTTACTTAAAACCTCATCTTCCTCAGAATGTAACTACTGTAGAAACATCTGCCTTCTTCAGGGAAAATTAGTATTTCATGACTGTGGGTTTTTTTCTTATTTCAGTATGCATTGCCGCTCCAGTTGGTGAATAACCAGACTATGACTCAGTGGATGGAGATCTTCCGTACGATCATCGATAGAAATGTACCTCCGGTAAATTTTAGTTTTGTAAAGAGCTCTGGTCCTTATGTGCAGGCATCTGAGGAACAGTCAGGGTGAAGGTTTTCTAAGTGTTCTTTTTTAAAGATGCCATCTATTTAAGATTCTTATCCTTGGAATAAGTGGTGTTTCTCACAGAAACACAGCAAGATCATGTAAACGGTCAGAATTTCATTGTCTGAGGTAGTGACACCATGTAAACTCCAATCTCGGATATTTTTGAAGTTTCCAAATATTTTAGCCAGTTTGGCTCAAACAAGAATCAAAATCTCATTGCAAACCCATCATTTGTTTCCATTCATCTTTTTCTTTCATCCATCCTTCGTATTTCTTGAAGAACAAATAAAAATAGTAATTAAATTCTTGTCTGAGCATGTACAACATTAACTGGCCTTTCTTAAGTTTTTTAGAAATTAATTTCACAACCTTAACATTTTTAATAGCATTTACATTACTATATAGTTAGGGTGTATATATTTCAAGAAATTAGCGTCGCGCTTATTTTTTAAGCCAGGGTACGCACCACTGTGTAGTATTCAAGTATATGTGAGAGTTTTCGTTTTTTACATATGCATACTTTTGAAAATTTAAGTACAGGTATTGCACATATACAGTTATATTAACTAATTAAGATATTTGAAAGTTCCTGAATGTTATATAACTGTTAACAGAACTGAAACTTTAGTTGATGTTGTGCATTTGTATTAGTTTACTCAGCAAGGAATGTTTAAAGCACCATTTCTCTCAACAAATACACACAGCTAATTTAAAATAAATTTGCTTATTTATAGGAGACTTTGCAAATTGATGAAGATGATAGACCAGAGCTGGTGTGGTGGAAGTGCAAGAAGTGGGCGTTGCATATTGTAGCTCGCCTTTTTGAACGGTAACAAACTAACAAACTGATTAAAAACTAAATTTGGGTTACAAGTCTGTAACGTTACTTGAGCTGCAATTAGACAAGACAGTTTAGTGGATTAAACAGCTCATGGTCACCAAAGAGGTATTCCTGCCGCTGTCCTCTGCATTGCAGTGGCACAGCCACTGGTCTGAGCTCTTAGTGAAATGATTTGACTCTCTAAGATGGCAAGAAACTAACCCCACAGGAAAAGTAATTTATTTTTTTTGCTACACCCAGCTGCAAGTGCTTATATTTTCAAATATAAAAGCAGAGGAAGATTTGAAAAGAAATCCATAAACTTGTGAGTTACAGAGCTTGTGACAAAAAGGTAGCTCTATGTGCTTGTCTATAGAATTGTACCTTAGGGGAATCTAAGGAAAGAAAAGAGAAGCAGGGCATTATATGGGAAATAATGGCTTAGAAGGAACCTATGGGAAAGGATTCCTTTGGAAGTGGAAGACTACTCAGAGTCCTTTGTGTTTTAGAAAGTTGGAAGTGGAAGACTACTCAGAGTCCTTTGTGTTTTAGAAAGTGCTGTATTTTCTCACAATGTAAGTATCTATGTCCTCTTCTTTTTCAAGGTATGGAAGTCCCGGAAATGTAACTAAGGAATACTTTGAATTCTCAGAGTTTTTTTTAAAAACCTATGCTGTGGGCATACAACAGGTAAGTACAGTTAATTTGTTTCTGAATTAGATAATTCTGACTGAACAAATGCATTGTTTTCAACAGTGTGCTTGTATGGAAGTTCATTCATTATACAAAAATGAACAGAGTAAGACAGATTTTCCTTGTAGTGGTTGAGAAATTCTTTAGAACTCAGTGCCACACAACTGAGGTATAATAACACCAATGTTCAGCAATTCAAAAAAAAACCTGCAGGAAAGTTCTCAGAAAAGGTGAGTGCTGGTAAAACAGTATTATCATCATGTATAAACATTCTAGATGTACTTGAGAGAAAAAACTGTTGATGCAGAGGCCTCATGTCATAGAAGGGTATGTTTTCAGGCCAGTCTTTAGTTTTTGCTGCAAACAATATAGGCACAGTGATCCAATGATACTGTTTTATTTCAGGAAGATACAAGCAGATTAGAAGGTGTCTGGAGAACAGCAAGAAAAGTTATTTTATACCTGGAAAGCATATTTTGTGAAAAAATCGCATAAATTCACAGTTTGTAAGGAAATTATTTTTATTGGGAAGTGCTAATTATCTGTGATTAACATGGTGTTGTGGAAACAGTTCAGTTCTGAAAAAGTTGCAGAAGAGAGATGATTCCTGTCAGAGTTTTCTGTGTTTCTCTGCCAGCTCAGTTGTGGGCCCCTGGAAAGATGGGCTTCCAGAATCTCCCTGGTTTGGTGGAATAGCTATCACAATTGGGTGCCTGAAAGCCCTGAGAGTGCTGGCTCCTAAGCTTGTATGTTTTTGGCACAGCTCCTCCTGTTTCTCATTCAGCCTGCCGTATACTAGATGACTAGGAGTGGTAGTTCCCAGGCTTTGGGCTCAGCTAAGCCTCTTGGGTGTCCAGGCTCTTGGGTTACATATCCCAAACAGGCTCCTGAGAAGCCAGGAGAATGCAATACACTCTCCTGTTCATGATTCTTGGCTCTTAATTCCCTTTGGCCTGTAAACCTTGAAAAACACTTGGGAATGTGATTTTTCAAGTAAAATACACGTTGGATAATGTATATTTCCAGAATATGTGGTTCCTCAGCACGCTGCCAGATGAAATCCCCCTGACATGGCATCTGCAGGCTTCTTACAGTTTAAATTTCCAATGTCTTTGATGCAGGGTGCCAGGCTGTTGTCACTTCAATTCAAATTTAAAGTAGATTTCAGAATACCAGGATTGTCTGCAAAACAAGATTACTTTTCGCCATCCAGTTTGACAACAGAATAGTTTATCCATCAGCATATTAATTTGATGTGAATATGTAAATGTTAAGAACTAAAGAGAGGAATGATTGTGGTAGGGCTGTAAGCATTAAGTGAAAAGGGAAGCAGTCTAATACCTGTTCTAAACTCCTTGCAATGTTTAACTCCTGAGGGGAAAAATAGACTCCCATGGGCAGTTGTCATCTGAAATACTTAAAGTTTGTCTGTTGAGAGATTAGGCTATGTAGTAGAGGGAGCTGTTTAGCTTTAAAGATAAATTAACTGGACAGTCTGCACATTTCTTCCATTTCTAACTCTTAAGTGCTGATTTGTCGCATTTCCTTGCAGAGTTAGTAGGAATTCTGTTGTGAATATTACACTACTAAGCCTTCATTTCTTATTCATCCGTTGTTAAGTGCTGACATCATGCTATAGTCTATATGAAGTATAGACAATTCTTGTCCAAGGAGCGTATCGTATAAAACACTGAAGATCAGACGTAATATTCCTAAGGAAGGAGTTATGTTCAAAATAAGATTTATTTTATAGTGTTGTGAAGAATTATGAAGCAGAATTGTCCTTCTGAAAATATATGACTCAATATTTTGTTATGCATTGCCCTTGATTTTTATTGTTATTAATGTACATGCCAATTTTTTATGCTTATTAACACTTAATAGTTCATAGAATCATAGAATGGTTTGGGTTGAAAGGGACCTCAAAGATCATCTAGTTCCAACCCCCCTGCCATGGGCAGGGAAACCCTCCACTACACCAGGTTGCCCAAAGCCTCATCTAACCTGGCCTTGAACACTTCCAGGGATGGGGCATCTACAACTTCTCTAGGCAACCTGTTCCAGTGCCTCACCACCCTCTGAGTGAAGAATTTCTTCCCTAGATCTAATCTAAATTCATCTGCCATTAGTGCAGATTAGTGGCTTAGTACTGTAGTTTTTTCCCAGGAGAGCAAGCCTTTCTATTAAGCAAGCATTGTGTGATAAAGTTTATGATAGCAAGCTAGGTGATACTGTCTGATGGTTACAACAGGTAAGTGAAGTTAAGGGTTTTGCATCTCTTCTGATTCACAGATTTAGGTGCTAACCTATTTTTCTTTTCTAGTTTAGTATTTCTATTCTTATCTTTAGTATTTCTATTCTTATCACTGTTCTTCCGAAGTAATTTGTCTTCTTTAGGGGCCTGTCCTTGAAAAATGAACACGGACACCTCCAACCAGTTTGAAAATCTCACTGTGCCTTTTTCTTATCTATTCCAAATTTTCCTGAGGCCTGTGTAAACTGTGAGCCTGTGAATATTGAAGTATATCTTTGGTTTACAATCACAAGTGGTCACATGGTGGGGCTAGTAGTAAAGGTAAACATGTACATAAATGCTTGCAGGATTAGGTCCTTAATATTTAAATGATTTCTGATTTCTGGATCAAAGGCATTACAGTGATTACTAACACTAGAACCTCTGCTTTAAATGTAGTTAATCTGTCCACGTACATTCACTGAAGAGGTACACTGCATGTCTGTGCATGAGAGAGAATTTTCAGTCTTCATTCAAAAATATTAATTTGTCATTTCTGTAGGTTCTATTAAGAATCTTAGACCAATACAGACAAAAAGACTATATTGCGCCACGTGTTCTTCAGCAGACGTTAAATTATCTGAACCAAGGGGTTATTCACTCTGTAACATGGAAGCAAATGAAGCCACACATACAGGTCAGTGTATAAAAACCAGTCATAACACTGCATGTCATCAGGGTGATTAAAAAAAACTCAAAAAACCCACCAGTTTTGCAGTTTTAAAGATGGTTTCATGGATATTTCATGCCCAGCAATTGATCTGGGCAAAAAATAGCATTTCTACACAAATGTGGTTGGGTTTTTTTCGGTATTATGACTACTTTTTATTGCAACTATTAACTCAATTAAAGATTTGGCTCTGTAAGTTCTTTGTTTTTATTTTTGAAGTCTACCAGAAAGTCATGATGTTCTGTTTTTTATTAGTTGCTAGTGTTCAGAATTGTCTATAGATTTGGAAATTTGCAATTGATTGTGGTGCAAAGATAGTGGGCAAAAAGAACATCAATTATGAGGAACTGAACTCTGTTTTAATGACATGTTTTATAAGTGAACTAAGAACAAGTGAAAAGTGATTTTCATGATTTTGTTTTTTCATATCCTAAGCTCCCCTCTTGTACTTAGTTAATCCCACGAGTGTTAAGAGGAAGGACTCTGAAATCCATTCTCATGTTAAATGTTACATTGGTGAGATCCTTCTACAGAATATGATGTTCTCCTGTTTATAGGCTATGTCCTGAAGTGTATTTTGTGCATGGTACTGTAAAATTATAAAGTTAGATTATATAATTACTGCTGTCTGGCACTGTTGCAAAAGGGAAGTATGTATATTCCAAGTTTCTTTCTGTTAGCCAAAATAAAAGAGCACTAGTTAAAAGAATTTTACTCTTCAGAAAAGTAGGTCTAGTAAATTAGTGCACAGTGGAGGGAAGTACTGGAATTTGATTTTTATTTTTTTATTTTAAATTTTGATTTACACTTATGTGTATTTGACTTCTTTAATATTAGAGTATAACAGAAGAAGTGATATTCTCTCTAATGTGCTACAAAGATGAGGATGAAGAGCTCTGGCAAGAGGATCCATATGAATATATCCGCATGAAATTTGGTAAATGTTTGCTTTTAGCATTTATTTTCTGCTTTCATCGTAACTGTACGCTGTAGTCCCAGTTAACAGCGTGGTCACTGCAATGTCTCTGTCTTCACCAGTGTCCTGAACAACAGGAAGAAGAAAATTTGTTTGTTAAATCTTACCAATGTGTAGTTAAAAGCCAAAGGCAAATCAAGTGAGTTTTGGCCATTTGGCTGGTAGTTTAAAACTAAATTATTCTCTTAACGTTTTTTTTTCTGCTTCACATGGGCTTAGTGCAGTCCAGACAGACTGGCTTGTTCGATTTTTAATGCCAGTTTCAGAATCCTGAATTGCAGATGTGACAGCTGTCTGCAAGTTCTTGCAGCTCTCACTTTGACCAGAAGAGGCCTGACTTGTTCTTTCCCTGTTGAAAATTGTTAATATCTTCAGCATTTTTTTGCCAGTTATTATTACTAAATTGTAAGATAATTAGATATGTGTTCTTTCAAAAGACACAGTGCAAAATTTTGGGAATATCACATAGGACCATATTAGAAGTAATTACTTTTATTAAAAGAGTCGTGTCACAGAAAAAAAGAAGGGTACTTCAAAAATATAGGAAATTTAGCTGGAAAACTCCAGTAAGCCAGGCACCACAGAGATATGTAACATTTGGGAATATTTAATTAGTTGTTTGATGATTAGCATATGTGAAAACAGAATTTAAATGTTCACAGTATAATTTAAAAAATTTCAAGAGTTGTTATGCAAAAAACCAATCACGATATAGTGTTTATCACTGAGGTACAAATACGTTACTGATTTTTGGTATATGAATCCAGTTCTTTCTGTGTAAGTGGTGAATCCTATTTTTATATGTAGCCGAGACAGTTAAATGCATATTTAAATGGTATTATGGAAAGTAAAAAAAACCAAGCATGAAAGCACATTAAATTGAAGTTTAGTGAGATGCATTTGGGTTTGGAACAAGAATTCCAGTAGTCTGGTGGTATTTCTTCATCATGTTTTATCTTCAAGTTCTCATGGAAAGTTAGTGTGTAATTTTAACCTTTTTAGATCTTCTTATTTAATTCAGTTTATGTAAGGATGTTTGGATTAGAACATGTTTGGCAGCACAGATATATTTTTTCGAGATATAAATTGTATTTTCAATATGATTGAAGGAAGTTTACTTGTAATGAATGAAGCTGAAAAGCTTCAGCTTTCAGCAGATTTATAACTATCCCAGATCCAAGTAGTTTTAACAAACAAAAAATTTCCCATGAGGTTTTAATAAAATCAAGCCAAAATTGTGTACATATGGTATGCAGATGGTACTGGAATGTATTGTTGTTCTTCCTATAGTGGTTTTAATTAAAAAAAGCCAGGATTTTTCATCCCTTAAATACATGCTCTCAAAAGAATAAACGAATAAATAATGCATTCCTAATACAGGGAACGATGAATGGTCAGTAGATTTGGAAGGCAAGAAGTAAATGCTTTCGTAGGTGACATAAGCTTGTCTCTGACTCTATAACCGTGAAGACAACCATGTCAATAGTTTTGAAGACACGTATTCACCCTGATTTTGTGATATCCCACAAACATGATGGTTTATAAACATTTTATTATTATATCATATTCAGAAAAAGAGAGATGTCTTTTTTCTTTTTCTTAATTTGTTAGATGTATTTGAGGATTATGCATCCACTACAACAGCAGCACAGAATCTCCTTTATACTGCTGCGAAGAAGAGAAAAGAGGTATGGAACTAGTGGTTTTAATGATTTAAAGTTTCCTTAATAATATTATTATTTTCCCTTAAATTTGAAGGTGCTACAGGAAGCTAATCTTGAAAAATCTACTTGCTAATACGTAGTCAAACTCCTTCCTGGCTGAGTGTTATCACTCCCTGTTAATTTTGGGAGAATTAAAATATGTGTGTATGTATAAATAAATAAATAATTAAGTATGTAAATGGATTCCTCTTGCAACTGTAGAATTAACCTGCTGGATATGAACCCAGTTGGAATAGATGTACTGATATTTTCCCTAGTTTACAAAGAGGCTCTGACATGGCTGTTCTGAGCTTCCCAAACTGTAGCAGTGAGAAAAGTGAAACTAATCCTTATTAATTTTCACTGATGCTATTTAAAATCTTGTTGACAGCAATGAAATTAGCAAGAATGAAACCAATTTCATACAGCTGCCCTTTAAATGAGGACATAACTTTTCTGTCGATCTTTCTATACTTAACAGTGATCTGTGCAAAAGAAAGTACTTGGCCTACTCCTGGAAAGCACATTTTAATTTGCTAGAACTGCTAGCTTTTTTCTGGGTAGTATTTGAACATCCAATAAATATGGATCTGCACTTTTAGGTGAATTTTCAGAGAAGAGCATAGTTGTCGTGGTTTAGCCTGGCTGGCTACTAAAGGCCACACAGCTGCTCGCTCACCCTCCCCCATCCCCAGGGGATGGGGAAGAGAATTAAAGAGCAAAAGGGAAGGAGGTTCATGGGTTGAGATAAGAACAATTTAATAATAATAATAGCAACAACGAGAATACTATATGATCATAAATATCTATAATGATAATAATATATACAAACAAGTGATGCACAGTGTAATTGCTCACCACCCGGTCACCAATGCCTGTCCCGTCCCGGCTAACGATACCGAAACAGGTAAGTCCCGGCACTGCAATCCCAGACGAGCAAGAGGCCCGAAAAGAGACCGAGAAATAGAGCACTCCCAGAGTCCGAGTGTGAGAGACCCTGGAAGAGCAAAGGCCCTTCTTTCCGGTTAACCCTCATCTTTATACTGGACATGACGTTGCATGATATGGAATACTCCATTGTCCCATTTGGCCCTCAATCCGAAGTCTAAGTTCAAATCATAAGGGGAGTTGTGGACCCTCTGTCCCAGCCATGTTCCCCCCCAGCCTGTTGTGCTCCCGCACACTGGCAAGAACACGGGAAGCTGAAGAGTCCTTGATGTCTCAGTGCCAACTGTAAACATCAGTGCGCTATCAACATTCTTCTCATAGTGAATCTCAGAGTAAAACCAAAACACAGAGCTCTTCTAGCTGCTAAAAAGAACTAACTCTATCCCAGCCGAAACCAGGACAATAGTCTTTACGTCTATGACCTTTCAATTTCTTTTGTGTCAAAACAGTCTTTGCCCACTGACCTTGTCATTTTCATAATTTGTACTGTGCCCGTCAAAATGTCATAAAGTCTGAAAAGCACGTAATAGACGTGGAAAGGACATTAAACAATTGATTTTGCCAGGAAAGCTTTCTAAATCTAGTCAACTTTACAAGGTGCTGCCAAAACCAACAGAATAAAATAAGTTTATTAGGTGTTAGTCCAAGCTGTTCTTGAATAAGAATATATTCATACACGTATGTACGTACGCATACAGATTTATATAAGTGTGGGACGAACCAGAAGAGAGGTTAAGGGAAAATATCAATGAAGTACTGTTTGAGCCTCTTATCTTTTCGTCACCTTTTTGGATTTGCCTCAAAGCAACAAAATTCCTTATTTCTTATTACTAAGGTGTAATTTCAAGGAGATTAATTTAATTTTGAGACGTTTGAGTGAAAGGCTGAAAAAGCTCTAATTTTAACCTTGAGCCTAGAAAGGCTCTAAATTTTAACCATGGAAAGATGCTATATAGTACCTTGCAGTTACTTTGGCCAAGGTAAAATTTCCACTTATAAAAATCATATGAATGTTTTAACGTAAACAATGCTATTAAAGTAATTTGACAATTACTTTAGGAGGTTGTGAATTTTCTGTTTTATGCAGGTATTGCCAAAAATGATGGCATATTGCTACCAGATTTTGACAGAGCCAAACATTGATCCAAGAAAAAAAGATGGGGCTTTGCATGTCATAGGATCTCTAGCAGATATTTTACTGAAGGTAAGCGGGAAAAGAAGTGTATAAGGTTTATGTTTGTAATTCTTATTATCAACTGCCATTTTCAATAAACAAATCTTAACTTATGAAGTATGGCTAGCCCTTAGCCATATTTATGAAGGCTGTAGAGAGATTGCACTGTGCAGCAAGAATCTGAGGGTTTGTTTCTTTAAAAATATTGACATTCTTTCCTGTTTTTTATATTCCCATTTTATATACAGACTTTTCTCAATTTTCTCCAGAGCTCTGTTTGTTTGCTACAAAACTGTCCCGTGGTCCTCTCCCACTTTACTAGTAAAATGGAAGGGTGTTAAAAAAGCAAACATGCATTCCATCAATAACATTGCCTGTGATTCTTTAGCAAACCCCCCTACAGCCTGCACTATTGTGGGCTTCTTCTGGTTCCAGAAAAATGTTTACTTAATATGTTGCAGGAATGTTTTGTCTAGCTTTCCAGCTTTCTTACCCTGCAATGTGTGGTTTTAAGTCTTATTTCATCAGTCAGCTGGGAGTTTTGAAAATAACTGGAAAGAACACAGAGTTTCTATCCTTCCTCCATTTTTTATAGACAGCATCTTCAGAATGTTGAGTATTTTTTCTGGAATTTGAACACATATTTAATCCACACTGTTTCTCTCTAATGTAATACTGATTACAGTTTCCTTTATGGTTTTGTAGATGGTGGAGTCCAAAGTATGCCCTCTCTCCCTGTCAAAAGTAACTGCCAAAATGTTATTACTTTTAGCATGAGAATGGCAGCCTTGTGCTGGAGGCTTCCTTTTAAAAGTAATGTATTTTATTTTATGTGATTCGTCTCTCTGTGCAGGATGTGTCTTCATGTTACAAACAGCATCTTACCAACGTTTACCATCTATTTTTTACTAATGTACCAATCCATGATCCAATCTGAAATCTTGAAACATCAGTAACTTGCAGAATTTTTGTAGATTGCATTACATTGTAAATGCCCTCACACATGCTGGAGTATAACAGTGAAAGAGGAAGACGTTGTTCGTGTTGTGAGGCGCCTTTCATATTGACTGGGAGTTTCTAAACCCATTTATTTCTGTCCTGAGGAAAAAAAGAAAAAGGAATTTATCCCAGTATGCTGCTCCTGTTTGACATTTTCAATCTTGAAACATGAGGTTGTAATATAAAGAGTAATAATCCCCAAACTCTGCAGACTCCTCTCAACTCTGAATTTCTTGTGTTTGGGATTTAGCAGATTGAAAAGTTCCATGAACTGTTTCTGCATAAAATACTCGATTTATAAGTACTTCGTGGCTGGTGAGCTGGCTGGGATACAGATTGTAAGGAGCTCATAGGCACAATGCCCCTGCCTTAGCTGCCTGGTGCTCCTCAGCAGCTCCAGACTAATGCACGCAAACCTCTGACCTGCGTGCAGAAGGGAAAACTCTTTTCCTTGCCCTGTGTTTTTTCTCTGCTCAGTTCTTCCTCTGCTTCTCTGAAGGTTTGGGAATCCGTGGGAAAAAATGATGTATGCATTGGTGAAGTAGAAGTGTGATCACCTGAGATGCATTTGGTGTTCAGTGTCCCCGCTCACTCGCTTCCTGTATTAGCCACTGAATCGTTCCTTTAGATTCAGTGGCTTAACACAGTCCCCAGCATATATCTTTTCTAATACCTTGGGGCTATAGGCACTAGGAAAGTCCCAAGTTTCCATGCTGGTGATCCTGACTTCCTGTGAATATCGTGGGATTTGCCAAGGTTGGAATAATCAGGGATAATTTTCGTCAAATATCCTTCTTCAGCCAAGGAGATTTCTATCACAAAGGAACTTAGTCCATTATAAACACGAAAAAAGATGTGAGTTGTTGTCGTAGTGTGTAAAATAATTAGTTTTGGTGCTTATAGTAACAGTAGGCTATTTGAAACTCAGATCTGTTTCATACTAAGCTTATATTTATCTTCAGCTATGGGCAATGGGGCAAGGCTTTAAACTGAAAGAGGGGAGATTTAGATTAGATATAAGGAAGAAATTTTTCACTCAGAGGGTGGTGAGGCACTGGAACAGGTTGCCCAAAGAAGTTGTGGATGCCCCATCCCTGGAAGTGTTCAAGGCCAGGTTGGATGAGGCTTTGAGCAACCTGGTGTAGTGGAGGGTTTCCCTGCCCATGGCAGGGGGGTTGGAACTAGATGATCTTTAAGGTCTCTTCCAACCCTAACCGTTCTATGATTCTATGATTCTATGTATGTACTCCTTTATAGGAAGAGTAAAGGTACTAGGGTTTTCATCCTAATTAATTTTTAGAAAAATCAAATGAAATCAGTTACCTTAAAGAAAATGAAAGTTCCAGTTGAAGTGATGTAATGAGTAATGTAGAGTTGAATATTATATGTACAGTTCATTCGCTTATCTGGCTTTGAACTTGCTATGCTTATGAGGCTTTTTCAGTTCAAGGTACGAGATCCAGGTCTCTTCGTGAGAGAATACTTTTATTACCTAGAACAAATAATCGTATTTCCTATGGTTGATAGTTGAAATGGATTACTGGCTAGAATGAAGTATGTAAAATGAATGGTCTCCAAAATTAATTTTTATTTACACCAACAGAAGAGTGTCTTCAAGGATCAAATGGAGCTGATGTTACAGAATCATGTATTTCCATTGTTCATGTCTAACTTGGGGTACCTCAGAGCTAGGGTAAGTTCACCAGTTATATCAATTTCAGTATTTGCCATGATTCTTTCCTTTGCAGTTTGACTTTGTTCTGAATGCCAATGAAAGGAATAAAGCAAATGCATAGTAAAATTTCAGATAACTACCCTGTGCAGTAATTTTTCAGCATTTTGATTTAAAAAATCATTTGTCAGCTAAATGAATTGATGGAAAGTCTGTGTTGTATTATTGTTTACCTCTTTGATCAGGCCGGAGAATTTGAGCAGTGGTTGTGGCCCTTTTGCGACCGTTTTTCATTAACAGATCTCCATAACTAGAGCGATTGGATGGCTGTGAAGAATAGGTAGGATTTCCACAGATTAGATCATGTCAGTTTGAGTGTAGCTTGAAGAAAATCCCTGAGTGCCCATATCAGTCATAAACAGTTAATTTTCTTTAATTTCTGTTCTGATTTTTTTCCCCCAGAACAACCAAAACTATGAATGCCAGTTATATGCATACTGAATTTATTGGAATTTGGGAAGGGAAAATAAAGAACTGCTTGAGTGCAAAGACCATGTTACATGTTACTCTATGAAATACACTGTAACTAAGAAAAAAAAAAAAAAGCAATACATGCAAACAGAGAGATAGTTAGCATTGTTTTTGAATCAGTTAAACAAATACTGAAAATTGCAATAGTCACTAGTTTGCTTTTCTTTTTGTCATGCAGTCCTGTTGGGTACTTCATTCATTCAGTGCTTTGAAATTTCACAATGAGCTAAACTTGAGGAATGCAGTAGAGTTGGCAAAGAAGAGCCTGATTGATGATAAGGAAATGCCTGTCAAAGTAGAAGCAGCCATAGCTCTTCAAACGTTAATAAGCAACCAAGAGCAAGGTATGCTACAGTGTTTCATTAGTCGTGTACACTGATTTTTAAAAAAATTTTTTTTGTAGAGGTGAGAAGGTTGATGCAGATTTCTCTAAACATTTCTACCATTTAAAGACGTAGATTTCAGAACATTTCAGCATGTTTAGACAGTTTCACTTGCTCATTAGTTACTCTGTACATCCCAGAATTCTGGCTTCACGTTTTTACAGCAGGTCTCTGCACAAAAGAAATAAAAATCAACATATTTCTTTTACTAAAATAAATAGCACCTGTCTTTGGTTTTTTTTAGTGAAGTGAAATAATAGGTATATTTAAGAATGAATGCTGCCTATGTATGTGGGCATGTATTCCCCCAAAACAGTGGATTTTTGTTGTGGACGGCATTTCAGTATTGCATTTGGTAAATGTACAATTTATTTACTTGGTTAGTCTACTAGTAATGGGCTGTCAATGTGCCTTGGGTAGGTTTTGTTTTGTTTTGGTTTTTTAAGTGAATTAAACTTTGAAAAATTGTTTTGTTCAAGAATAGTCAGTTACTTAGTAGTTTTGAGGTACTGTATAATTGTGTTTATGGGTAGTTGATTTCACCTAATTTCAACTGTTTTTTCAGCCAAGGAATATGTGAAGCCTTATGTAAGGCCAGTTATGCAAGAGCTCTTGCACATTGTCAGAGAGACGGAAAATGATGATCTTACTAATGTAATCCAGAAGATGATCTGTGAGTACAGTCAGGAAGTAGCTACCATCGCCGTCGACATGACTCAACACCTGGTAAGAGACAGTAGTAAAGTAACAGCCCAGTTGGAAGCATAGGCCTAGGTTGGTAAACATATAATGAATTTTGTTTGAAGTGCACACTGTTTAAAGTAATCTTCATAAAGGTCTGCCTACACTATTTACTTTTTTCTTTATTTTTCCTGTATGAAACATCGTTAAAAACCTATAGGTTTTTCAAAGATACTGAATTTTGTCACTGGTTTTAAGGAGCCAAGCTCTAACTGTTTAACATTTCAAATGACTTAACATAGTCAGACTTCTCAAAAAAAGAGTTTTTAATTTTCTATATTCCTCTTTCAAAAGCAAGGAGCATATTTTTCAACACTGACAGCTCTTGGAGATAAGGCATTGCTGCTGTTGCATTAGCTGTCTTGGTTTTGCATGACAAATTAGAAATGTGAGTTTGCTCTTGAATGTCAAATTGATTGTTTTTTTTTCATAGGCTGAAATATTTGGTAAAGTACTTCAGAGTGAGGAATATGAGGAAGTAGAAGACAAAACAGTTATGGCCATGGGCATCTTGCACACAATTGATACTATCCTTACAGTTGTGGAAGATCACAAGGAGGTGAGATTTTCTTTTGTACGTCTTTCCTCCTGCTGTTCCCTCATGCCTTTCATTCATGACAACAGGCACTTCTATGTGTGTTGTATCACTTGAGTAGACATGAGTGTGCATTTACTATAGCATGATGATGAATTAGTACTAAATGATCTCTGACAAATTTGAATTTAAAGCCCAGTTTAATTTTGTGGTTTCTTAATTGTTTAGCTCTCAACTTTGAGAGGAATTAATATCCTGAGGTTTAAATCCTTAACCCTTACTCTGGTAAACACTTCATTGGATAATTGTATTACAGACTATTAAAATAGATTTTAGGGAGAAGTATTTTGCTTAAGGCTAATTTTCTACATTAACTCATATTTTGTTGTTTACCAGGCAGTTTCTTGAATAGAATTCCTAGGGATTGTTCTCCCAGTTGTGGTGCAATGTAAGTCTACATTTCACATATTCAGACAAGAAAGAGATTCTTTCTGCTCATACCACCTGGGCTGGCTGAGGTAGGAAGGAGTTCAGTGACTCACCAGAGAGGCAAAGTCAGTCAATAACTTAAGCTCAGTTGGCATAAAAGTGCTTTGTCCTAGATTCTTTTGCCTGTTTGATTTACAATGAGAAAGTTTCATTGCAAGTGAAGCAAGGAAGCTTGTAATTTAAAAAATGCATTAATTAAAATACTAATTATTTTCTTGTAAGACCACTGTGTTCCTTTCAATTTCAAAACAGCTTTCATTCCTTTACAAGAACCCCTTGCATCTTTTGAAAGCTAAAATGAAACCGAAGTAGCTAAGCTGAGCATCAGGAATGATAGTCTGAAGTGGACCTTCAGGTTTTAGCCTAGGAAAACCTGTGGGGTTGGGATATTTTTGGTATAAACTTAGCAGCATTTTAGAAGTGATATAAATGATATAGAAATGGTATATGAAGCTGAAAACTCCTTATAAATTCCTTTCCTTTCACCGTTAAGTAAGAGAGTTTAAGGAATGATTACTTCTGAGTCAAGTGCCTGAAGGCAAGTGGATGAATCTGTGGTCACAAAGGTTAATCCCTTTGCTGGAATAAGCCCAGAAAGCTGTTCGTCCCGCAAGATTATGCGTGTAATGAATGGCCTATGGTGATAATAACATGAGATGTCTGTATTTGCTGGTTTTAATTAGACTTATCATGAATCATAGAATGGTTTGCATTGGAAGGGACCTTAAAGCTCATCTGTTTCCAACCCCCCTGCCATGGGCAGAGACACCTGCCACTAGATCAGGTTGGTCAAAACCTTCTCCAGTCTGGCGTTGAACACTTCCAGGGATGGGGCATCCACGACTTTTCTGGGCAACATGGTCCATTGTTTCACCACCCTCATTGTAAAAAATTTCTTCCTTAGATCTAATCTAAATCTCCCCTCTTTCAGTTTAAAGCCATTGCCCCTTGTCCTGTCACTATATGCCCTTGTCAAAAGCCCCTCTCCAGGCTTCTTGTAGGTCCCCTTCAGGTACTGGAAGGCTGCTAAAGGGGACCTACAAAACCGCACATTTACAATGTGGCCATATAGCTCTCCTTGGAATTTAGTTTAATTCATAAATGCAGTCTCTCTGTCCAACATGGCAAGGCTGAATCCTGACTTCAGCATAGTCGTATGCTCCCAATTTCTGCATGTGTTCCTCTTGCCGAGCCTGCTCTGGAAAGCTCTCCATAAAGAGCTCACCTTAGGCAAAAACATCTCTTCCTTTCTTCCTTTTAACCTATTCTACTTCAAGGATTTTGGACAGACTTTATGGCAAACACTTTGAGTACAGTGTTACTTTATATCCAGACAAGACAACAGATACAGTATTTGATAGGACGTATAGAACAACCATAAAATAAGATTTTTAAAAAATAAAGAATAATGCTATAAGTGACAAATTTTAAAACAATACTCTCTATTGAAAAAATGAGTACTTACATCAGTGAGACCTTATTTTATAATATTGGGATTATTAACACAGCATTTAAAAAATGATAAAAGCCGTTTTACTTTTAAGAACTTCTCAGACTGAATTAGCCAAATACATTGATTAGATTACTGTATTTCTAAGTTTTTAAATAAACTGCTTTATATTTTTATTTCAGATAACCCAACAGCTGGAGAGCATTTGTTTACAGATCATTGGTCTCGTTTTGCAGAAACATGTTATAGGTATGTTTGAGAGAAAATTTTTAGAAAAACATTACATGTTTTTACATTAAAAATTTCGTAAATTAATTATTGCAAACAGTACTGTATTCCTAGACAGAACTTCATCTTTTTTTTGTGTACTTCTTTAAAGAAAAAAAGATGTTAATTTTCAGTTATGATTTGTTTCTCCTGATCTCCTCTTGTACATTAGTCAGTCCAGTTATTGTGTTTTGGAGGTCAGAATTGAAAGCAGAAGATGCAGTTCTGATTATAGCTATTGCTAGCTGTGTTAAAGGACAGTCACCACAATTACATTAGTATTTTATGGACATGGTCAGCAATTAAATTACTGCTTTATCAGTACCCTGCACTGAAGAGCTACTCAGTTTTGTGATAAGGCCTTTAAATAAAAACAAAGGTTGGAAAACCAAAAGTATTTTGCAGTAAATTGTTTAGAAGCAATGTCTTTGATATGCTGGTAATATATTTTTCTAATGTGTATTTATAATGAAAAACTGTGCATATTGTAACTGTAGCCAACATAAGACCTATCTAAAAGAGTCTTTTCCAATTTCTATTATTTTTCTACGTATTTTCTACTAATTGCTGTCTTCCAGTTGTTATGTACCTCGGCGCTTGGTTTCAGATTTCACGATATTTGCAAGCTAAATGTGTTTTTTAAAGGACACTACTTCAAATTGTTTCTCCTTTCCAGAGTTCTACGAAGAAATTCTCTCCTTGGCCTACAGCTTGACATGCCAGATGATTTCACCTCAAATGTGGCAGCTTTTGGGTGTTCTATATGAGGTTTTCCAGCAGGATTGCTTTGAGTACTTTGCAGGTATGATCACTTCTATTCTGTTGATGTTTCCACTGTTTGGGAATTCATCTCTAAACCCCACCTTAATAAGGGTCGCTTCCATTTAGTCTCTTGGTTTAAAACGATCATGTATTTGAGTCATGCCCTGACCGTCTGTTTAGTGTGGGAGTATAACAGGAGCATACTTAAGTAGGAAAAGCATGTTCAAATCTGTCAGTGTGATCAATTATTGTAAGAGGTCCTGAACTCAAAGAAAGCTGAAATATACAAAGTTAATGTGAAACTACAAATGAATTAATTAAAATGTAGTCCTCTTCTATTTCTTCTTCTGAGAATGCACCCTGCATGGTGCACTCCATGAAGAATTCTGCTAGAATAGACTTTTGCAGAGTTTGAATTTCCAACCACGTCCAAGAATCTGAGCTAATGAATCCCATTATAGGACTACAGCCTCACTGGTTAGCACTTGCATGGATTAGTTTGTAATTTTTTTTTTCTCTTTTGCTCTCTCTCTTCTGCAGATATGATGCCTCTCTTGCATAATTATGTGACCATTGACACTGATACTTTACTGTCTAACCCAAAGCATTTAGAAATAATTTATGCTATGTGTAAAAAGGTAAGGCTACTGATTCTTACTGTTCCGCTTATCGCTGGTACTTAACAATCAGATTAGTAGAGTGACCTGAACATGCCAGGTGGTGGCCAGTCATTTCACAACTAACTGAAATTTGGTCTTGGCTCAGTTCTGAGTATGCATAGCACCTTCACACTTTTTAAGTGGTGTGCTTTTTGAAAAATTACATGCACAAATCTGTGTGGGAGAAAGTTGCTGTTCATCTTGACTCTCTTCTATGAACAGCTATTTTGGTAAGTAGAGGAATTAATGAAGGCTGATTTCCTTGGGTTGTGTATCTTGCGATTAGATTCTCTAGTTGTCAGCTAAGGTACAAACTCATTTGAAGTTCTTCCTACGTTTATACTGTTTCTCTTTTGTGCTTATTCTCTCATGTATAATAAAGTATGAGATCATGCTGCAGCCTTTCTCTGATTTTGAGCATTATGGAGTGTTAGGCATCTAGCTACCTGCTTATTTTAAAGAAACTTCCAGAAATTGAATGTGTTTGAGAATTCTGCTGCTTTGCCAGGTTAGATTGACACTGACCATAGGGTTGAAAGGTACTGAGAAGAAGCAGTCAGTTTCATTGTATGTGCATATTCATAGAGGGATTGCATACATCTTGTTTTTAATCAGAAACTAGCCTAGAGATAGGACTTCACTTTGCCAGGCTGTTAATCTGCCAGTGTCTATTAGAATTGAAGTCAAAAACCAGAAGCAGAATGTGAAAAACATCAGTGATTCTTGTAACGTTTCCTTTAGAAAAGGGAAAGTGATGACATAGAAATACTAACATCGATAAAGAATTACAGCCATTTCTTCTAAATTTTTAAGTTCTTCTAATTTTTTGCCATTTATCCTTGTTTATGTCCTATAGAGATGATTTTTTTTATATGTCTGAATGTCTCACAAAATATAGCATGAATATATCTGTGTATGCCATGCAGAAGTTTTTTGATGTATGCAGGTACAGGAGCATTTGCTTTTGAAGTTGTCAGTAATTAATACGGATAAACGAAATTGTCATTCTGGTTGTTAGGTATTAACAGGAGATGCAGGAGAAGATGCAGAGTGCCATGCAGCCAAACTCCTAGAAGTAATTGTTCTTCAATGCAAAGGACGGGGTATTGACCAGGTGATACATATTGAACAAGGTTTCTCTTTTTCTGGTTTCCAATGATACATGCATGATTCCTGAGAAAAGCAGTTGGAATTAGGGTATTTGAGGGAAAGGTAAAGTGTAGGAATGGGGAGAAATACAGAAAGAAGTCAATAAGCTCAAGAGAGTTTGCAAAGTTGGGTTTGTTTGTTTTTTTTTCAGATTAGAGATTAGTGGGCATGACTGGAGAATGAATGTAGACGGAACAATAAGGATATAGCATGATGTGCGGGATTTTCTTTTTTGTTTTCTCCTAATAGGATTTCCCTTTGATGCAAAACACGCATTGTTAAAACTGTTGTGGCTGAGAGGTTAACTATACGTATCTAACTACTGAAGTTGGTTCTCCAAGCAATATGAACTTGGTCCTTTTTAATATTTTGAATTACTCAGTGCATTTGGAAATGACGAATGTTTAGTGTGGCTGGATTGTGATTGCTGGGAAAAAACATAATCACAGTTTTCCAGAGTTTCTTAGAACACACTTCTTGATAGTAGTCTTTTTCCTATTAAGGGCTAAATTCTTGTCTCATGTTTTACATAATGCTCCAGCCTAAATTACTTTTAATATATTGTATTTGATGTTGCCACAGTGCAACAGTGACTTCAGTTACAAATTTTCAGTTAATTTCACTGAAACCAATATAACTTTACTAATGCAAATCTGAAGTCATTGAAGATAAAAATGTTCCCTGAAAGATTTTATTTTTAAAAGAAATCTGGAAGGGATTAAAGTGAATTGTATGCATTTGCATTGAAATAAGTATGTGGTGGAAGGCTTAAATGAGCTCCACAACCCTGTGAATTAAAATTGTTGCACACTGAACTGAAACTCATAAACTAAAACATTCATAATGCTTCTCAAAGTATTGTAAAGCATAAACCCGCACACTGAAATATGTGTAGATGTTTGTTTCATTGTGTAGAAATTTGTGCATACTCACTTCTAATTGAATAAATTCACTCATTTCAAACCTTTATAAGAAATTTAACCTCACTTACATTTATTAGGAAAAACTTCCTTTCTTTTTCTTGCCGATTTAGGTAATTTCATTTTTAATGCCTGTTACTTTTGAAATTGTTGGATATCTTTATTCAAAGATGAGTTCTTTTCTGAACCTTTTATACACACTAGAACAAATTCCGCCAAATGGCCCCAAATATCCTACTCTGTGCTGAGAATAACATCGGCAATTTTTAGCTCAGGGAATAGCTGTTTTGGGGAAGATTTATAAGCATATAATTAGAGACTTAAAATGCTTTTATGCTGGGGAGTGAATAGAATGCGTTCCTAGGTTCTACCTGAACTTCAGTCAATCGGGAGATCAATTCTGATAAAAGTATTTTAAACTTTTATATAACCTGGCAACATGTATAATGCCTGTTTTATTGTTTTGTTTGTTGTTTTTTTTCTTCTTCTTTATATGCCCAGTGTATTCCACTCTTCGTGGAGGCTGTTCTGGAGCGGCTAACTAGAGGAGTTAAAACAAGTGAGCTTCGTACCATGTGTCTTCAGGTTGCCATAGCTGCACTCTACTACAATCCTGACCTACTTCTGCACACCTTAGAGAACATCAGATTTCCACACAATCCTGAGCCCATCACTGCACAGTTCATAAACCAGTGGATGAATGACACAGACTGTTTTCTTGGGCAAGTATTGTGTTTTTTTTCTTTCAGAAGACCACGGTTTTGATTTTTTTATTAACTTCTATTTGTATCCCTAGTCATGCTGATGAAAGAGTTCTCATTCCTTGGGTAGTCTAAATAACAGTTATCCACACCAGGTCTAATTGCTGTGATGCCAGTAAAGGTGACCTATGTCCATATAACTTTTCCGGGTCTGTTGAGGTATGTGCTGAACTTTCTGTGTTGTGACGATACAAGGGTACAATACATACCATATTTCAGAATTCTTTTAATCACAAACTATTCATTTCTTGAAGAGATGGTCCAGCATGCATTGAGGATAATACTCAGAGCTGAGCAGCAGGATTTCAGTGAAAGGTTAACCTTTTTTCTGGAGTACTGTATACCTATTTTCTGTCTTATATTTTATAAAGGATTTTTAACTGCTCCATTTAATGTTAAAAAACCATTATTCTTTCCAATGAATCCCACATTCTGATTGTAATCCCTGTGAGTTGTTCATGATCAGTTTGCATATTTACCATTATGCCATTGATGTACTGACTGTTTAGCATACTCCTGAACTTAAACTTCATTCTGACCTCCTTTGAACATCTGCACTAGTGTGCACTTGGGCAGGAGCTGAACATTTGTAAAGTAAATGAAGGTGGACAAAGCCTGTCATCACATAGCTAAATGTGCACTTGATGCTGGGTGCATATGAAGTCTGGTGCTTGACAGTTAGTGCTTGCCTCTCAGCTGAGATGTGGTGTCTGACTGTGAGATTCAAATCCACTTAAGGGCAAGGCAGACAGTCAGATGTAGTTAATAGCTACCTCTCATGAGTTACATTTTGTCATTGGAGGCTGACATCCGACTGCAAGTGTACAGATAGGCTTAGAACGTGTCTTCTCTGTGCATAGTCTATGCCAACAAAGTGAAGCGTCAGCATGTTAGGAGTCATGCCACGAGTGAGCATTGCCCGAGACAGGCAGCTCCTGACCCGTAGATGCATACCTTATTTTAGGTTGTCATTCTTTTCCTACCTGTTTGTTATTGGTGCAGTCTTGTCTTTTCAATTCTAAGCAGGTCTCTAGTGGGCTTCTTATAAGATGATTTTTCCACTCCCCAGTCATCCAAATAGCTTTTTCTCCATACCAATTCTGATTTGAGTAAATCTTCCCTGAACAAAATTATATACCCTCTTGGTATAGCTGCATTATTGCTTCGGTGTCCATCTTGAATTTAGAACTGTGTGGTGCATTATAGTGCTGCGTTACCTTTTTCATAACTGTAATAACATAGTGACTCCCAATCAATCAATGACCAGCTGGTATATGCGAGTTTTGCTCTCAGCATGTCCTTTGTACATTTTTTAAACACATACCAAATGTACATGTTGTTTTCCTCCCTCCTCTGTCCTAAGTGTACAGTTCAGTGGGACGAGGATGAGAGCGCAGTAGTTTGTAGAATTGCAGCATAGACTACCTTGTTTCAGGTCTGCACATTAATTCTGTCTGGTTTACTGGAATGAAACCCACTTGGAGATACAAGAGAAGTTGCCAGCTCTGGTGTTTACAGGCTTTGTGCAGCTCCCCTATTTGCATCTGTATTTGAAAGTATTACCATAGTGGTCTCTCCTTGAAGAAAAAACAATTAAAAATACTAAATCAAACAGATAAAAAGTGGGGAAAAAAGTCTCTTACTCATTGTAACAAAACCAACAGTTCATACTGTCACAAGCATTCTGACTTCTTCTACCTGCTGTGTGTACAAAATGTCTACAGTACATCCTGTATCTTAACACAAATACACTCTTACCAATTAGAGGGGTTACTTGAGTTGGTGACAAAGAAGGCATGAAGGACCCAATGACCCTCATTTCTTTTGGAGTGCCAGTGGCTGAAAAATGGCACCTTTAAGTCTAACTCTCCCACACCTTGTAGTAATATTATTATTAATTACAAAATTATTTTTATATCTACTGACTTTAGAAAAGAGCAAAGCATTTTGGGATTTCCATGTACTGATTTTTTTATGGCTGAAGCAAAGTTCTTGAGATTCAGCTCTTTGTGCTGTCATTTTTTCTACTGCCTATCCAGTGCTGAATGCATACAGAGACAGTAGGACAGAAGATATTCCCTACAGGTGGTAAACTTCTCATTCCTTTCTTAAAAGAAATAAAAAATGAAAGCGATTTATAGCCTTAAATAGTTCATCCTGGAGCATTCAGTGAGAAACTAGTCAGATCCAGAGGGGAAAAATACTGCACATCTGACTAGGCTCCAACCTCAGCTGTGAGCTACAGCTTAACTTTCAGTTCTTTAGTGTTGCTTTTCAAAAAGCACCAACTACTGCAGCTGCTGTGCAACTAAATTCTTCTTCAGAGCTGAGACAAAAGTTGACAAAGCCTATGAAAATGAAATACGGAGATCATGGTGCTAGATTCTGCTCAGACTCCGCATTTGAATGGCAGCAGAAGATTAAAATGTATCTCTTTGATCTGGTGCCACCAGCAGTGAAATAAATATCTGTAATATTGCTTAAATCTGAAGACCG